TTGAAACGCACGTAGGCTATGTTTTTATTGAAATTTAACGCGGGTGAAATCATAGGCATAGCTAGTATAGTACAAAAGTCGATACCTCTGTCTGTACGCTTTGATCTTTTAAGTTACACAACTCATTTTACTGCAGTTTTCAGCAATAGATAGAGTGATTCAAGAGAATGGTTTAAATGTATAATACATGCGTGTTATAGTATAGGACAGGCCGAGAAATCTTAGATTAGTAATGCATCCGAGCGAAACCAGGGCGCGTAGCTAAAATACCTATAAATATAGGTCCTTCATTGTAACATTACTTTCCTTTACCATAAATGACACGATATTTATCTAAATAGCTTTGGAAAATAAAGTTTAAGTCGATTTAGATAAAGTTACATTTTAAGTGGCTGATATGATTATACTAAAGACAAAGTAAATTGACTTATTCACGGCTTAACTGCCGGCTGCGGCTGCCTAGTCTCAAGTTTTAAAGAAATGAAATGAAATGAAATGAAATGAAAATGAAAATGAAAATGAAATGATATTTATTCAGTAGAAAACTAAAACACACATTAAACAAACAAATAGAATAACAAATAGTGCGAACAATTACATACAAATAACAGTACACAAATTACGTATGTGCGAGTGTGCGTGCATGTGTATGTCTGTCGAAGCATCCACTGAATAGGTCCGTGCTCAGCATAATGCTGCAGCGGCTGGAGCGCTGCAACGCTGTTTTTCAGCACAAGACCTGGGGTGGTGTATTGCCGTGTTGTACACGATTTATGATATGATACAATACTTAATATATAATAAATTGATATAAATTAATATACATAAATACACATTTAGCTAAAATAGAGATAGTACACAAATGACAAGGCGATAATAGATATTAATACAGTCAAATAAAAGAGATACAGGAGAGGGTATATAAAGATACAGATATATAAATTGGTAATGTATTTTTGCCTAGATTGATTTTTGTACCTGCATGAAGTATTTTTTTAGGTGTCGTTTAAAAGTGTGAATTGATTTGAGATCTTGAATAGGTGGTGGTATGTTATTCCAGCAGTGAGTGGCGGCATATTTAAAACTTCCCCTAAATGCAGCTGTATTATGACTTGGAATTTTAAGTATATTAACATTTAATCGTATCACGTATTGGTAACAGTTTTGCCTCCAGGTTAATTTATGGTACAGATAATGAGGCTGATTGGATGCCATTATACCGAACAGCAAAGTGGCCAGGTGGAGATTTCTCCTAGCGGTCATTTTGAGAATGTCATTATTATTCAAATATGGTGTTATGTGACTTCTGGGCGGTATTCTAAAACAGAAGCGAGCACAAGCGTTTTGGACTCGTTGAATTAAACGTTCTGTTCTTGATAACAAACATGGTCCATATGCTACATCTCCGTAATTTAATTTTGACAAAACCAGTGAATCCACTAAGCGTTTACGTAACTCCACTGATAGAAAATCGCGCATTTTATACAGGACTTTGAGTCTATAAAAACATTTCTGTACAGTGTTATTAATATGATCCTCGAACCGAAGTCCCGGGTCCATTTTTAAGCCCAAAACACGCACTGTGTCTACACGTTCTATCGTCTCGTCCATTATTTTGACAACTGGTTTACCTGACATTATTTTGGTAATTTGTTTCTTGCTACCCAAAATTACAAATTGAGATTTTAGCGGGTTTAAGACCAGTGAATTCAATTCTGACCATTTAGAAATTCTATTTAGATCTTCATTTATATGTTGAATAGCAGTAGATGTCTCACTAGGCATAAATGATATATACAGCTGCAAATCGTCAGCATATAATTGGTACTGACAGTAATGTATGCACTTAACAATATCCGCCGTATATATTATGAACAGCAATGGTCCCAGAATCGAGCCCTGAGGAACACCCCTACGTATTGCAAGTGGCTGTGACGATAAAATAGTTCCGTCCTCTTTTGTAATTTCAACAATTTGTTTTCTTTTTGAAAAGTAACTGTGAAACCAGTTTACCGTAACAGTGTCAAAGCCGTAATAAGCCAACTTAGAAAGAAGCAGTTGCACTTGAATAGCATCGAATGCTCGAGAATAATCCAAAAGAGACAATAGCGTACCCCTACCAACGTCTCGTGCTTCCAGGATGTTACCTATCACGTCTAATAAAGCTGTGCTTGTACTACGTTTCTTCCTGAAGCCAGACTGCAAGTCAGGCAATATAGCATTTGTCTCTAAGTATTCTACCACCTGCGAATGTACCACACGCTCAATAACTTTGGACAGACAAGGCAATATACTTATAGGGCGAAGATCTTTAAATTCAGTGGGATTATTATTTTTGGGAATTGGCCGCACTACAGCCATTTGCCAAGCTTCCGGAAAGCAACCACTTATAATGGATTTATTTATAATAGCCGTGATTGCTTCCAGCGAGTAAGGCAGAGTTAACTTTACCATTTCTAGGGTAATGCCATCATTCCCCTGCGCATTAGATTTAAGGTTATTTATAATTTTGAGTACGGCTGCCTGACTAATTGGTTTAAGGGTAAAAGTACAAGTACCATATCGATTGAACTCATAGAAAGTTAAATAAGATACACTGCTTATATTATGATCACCTGGAATATTTAAAAATGATTTATTAATTTTATCTGGGTCATCAAAAAATGAAGGTAATTCATGTTCATTAGCTAAAGGCAAAAGATCATTTTTAATATTCTGCCACAACTTCTTTGAGTTGTTTATATTATTATTTATGTATTGATTGTAATAAGCTTTTTTTTCAGTATGTAAAGGACCGTTTAAATGTATTTTGCAGTGCTTAACTCTATTGAATTAGAAATGCACGTATAATCTATAGAGATCTTTTTCATGTAGTTTCAATGATAAACAAACTGACGGTATATCTGATGGTAAGTGGTAACCGTCGTCGTCTATATACATGAATCATTACCCATGCGATGGAGCGACCAAGTCAGCAGCAGTAGGCGGTCTACTCCACGAGTATACTAAGTTTGAAACGTGTGTGTTGTTTACGCACCAGCTAACATGTGGAGTCAGCGGAGCGCGTATATTCTTTTCCGACATGCTAAGTCTACGGCAACCTTTATGACCGACCGAATTTAATCGAGTGGTAATCGATGTAGACCCGAACATATTACGCCGACCCCAAATAAATGGGATAAGGAAGAAGCAGATGATGATGACGATCGATGTAAGCCCGAAGGTAGATCTGCGATGAAATTTTGGTCTCGATAGGTCAAGCCGTTTCGGTGGAGTATCGTTACAGTGCAAATATGATCTCTAAGATGCTTCGCGCTCCTCTCAACCAAATATGGAAGACAAGAGGGAGAAAAGTGAGCTGTCGCAAGGCGGATAGCATCACCATCTTACCCCACTACATAAAGACCACGACTGTTCTGTCAAGAACGTATCGAATAAAAAGAATAAATACAAACGGTACGATGGATATCACGTTGTCCGCAAAACACAGCTTACAAAAGCAAACTGCTTGGCAGCCTAAGTAGATGAGACTGAGCAATATGCAGTCTGTGAGGGAAGTTGCCACTTTAATGGAGTAACAACTGGTGTACAAGTAAATATCGTAGAATAACAGATGAACAAAAATATATTTCCGAGCAAGATAATATTATATAGTGCAGATACATTAATATGAAGGGAGACAAGATGTCACATCGTCTGGCATACCAGCCGGTGTGATTATCGATTGCTAACCTCTTTCTAACACCGACGATTTTTCACAGTCTCAACTAGTAGGTACTGTTTGTAAAATTTACATTCTTTACATTTTTTTTTGTAATTCTTGAATGCATCTATTTTATTTATATCGCTTAGAATAAATTTTACCTCGTTGCAATTTTATTCATCGCCATCTCATCATCTGCATTTTCCTTATTCCATTTATTTGGGGTCGGCTTAAAGTTTTCTCTTCCATTCATCCCTGTTCGCAGTCATCTCGTTATTTACTCCCTTTCTTACCATATCATCTTTACACAATTCATCGCCATCTATTGGTACAATAATAAAATATTATATATATTTTTTATATCTTAATATCTAAAATCTTATCTGTTTTTATATCTTAATATCTATTATTAATTACACCGCCTTATTATCTCTGTTCAGCGCGACGATTGACTTGTAGAGAATGTAATGTAAAGCTATCAGATTTTAAGTCCACCTTGTACACAATTTTGGATGTAAAGTTAGAAAAGTGTAGAAAATTTGTGATCCAACTTTAAGTTAGTTTATTAAAATTGGATGTCCAATTATAATCATTATTATGTACGTTCGTGTTTGTACCCAAGTGCCCAAAAGGTAGCGACGGCCGGACCAATTCTGAACGTGATAATATCTTAATACAACCAATTAAATTTTGTTTACTCGACAGCTCCAAGGGATTATTAATTTACTCTCATTCGTCTATTATAATTACATTAGCCGTTTAAATGAGTTTGCTGTTTTTTATGTCACCGTTGTATCAACTGGGCTTTATTTACTTACTTTTATACTTTCGCGTTCAGTAATAATTTTTAATGTATTTTTTAGGGTCTTAATATTAATAATGTTTTCATAGTATAAAATATAGTCACCGCTGCTGTCTTTACGTTTAGATATTTAAATTACGAAACGGATTTAAAACAGTTTTCAATAATAGATAGAGAAATTCAATCATTTATAATGCACCTGTGCGAAGTCAGGCAATTCCTATTTTATTGAGAAAATATTTACCTTACTTGACGTTTCAGCTACGAATACTACGTAAGGTTAAGTTGAAGTAAATCAGACATAAAGATTTTGTTGCAATTAAAATAACTCTTTATTTTATACATAAGTGTATACGGTTGACCTTATCAAGGGGAAACGATAAACCAAAATAAGACTCACTTATCAGGAATTGTTATCTGTTTACTTTAGTTATCAGTTCCACTGCTTGAAGTATTCGCTCTGCAGTATTCAGTATACAAATACAATTAGAGAGAGATACATGGATTTTACGGGGAAGGTGGCATTAGTGACAGGAGGGAGCTCAGGTATAGGAGCTGCCTCCGCCAAGATACTCGCCACTCATGGAGCACAAATCGCTTTAGTCGGAAGAAACGAGCAAAGACTAAATGAAGTTGCCAAGTTATGCTACAACGCCAAAGGTTTGACGCCTCTGCAATTGAGACTAGATCTGACAGAAGAGGGGAATTGTCAAAAAGCTGTTGAAAAAACGGTTCAGAAATTTGGAAGACTAGATGTTTTAGTAAATTCAGCCGGAAAATACGCTGTGGGATCTCTGCTAGATGAGACAACTGAAGTGTTTGATGAACTGACGAAATTAAACCTTGGAGCGACGTACAAAATGACGCATTTTGCTATACCACATTTGATCAAAACAAAAGGCAATATAGTCGTGGTTGCAGCAGCTCAGTACGAGAAGATTAGACATGGTTTTGTAGCATTTTCAACTATAAATGCTGCACTGACTAAATTCACTAAAATCGCTGCAATCGAGTTGGCCACATTGGGAGTTAGAATCAATTCTGTGGCTATAACAGTGACCAGAACTAACATTTTATCCAATATTAATATTGAAAGTCAAGAAGAGCGAGAATCAATATACAGGGTGATCGAAAGTCATAATAATATGAAAATACTGGATCCTGAAGAAGTTGCTAAGATGGTTGTTTTCATTGCTAGTAACTTGTGCCCAAGTATGAATGGTGCTAATGTTTGTATTGATAGTGCTGCGACGTCCAGGTAGTAGACGTTACTATAAGGAGACATTACGTGCCAATGCATTTTGCTTTACTGTCATGACTATTTGTGTTTTCATTAGTAAGTACTGATATTCCTTACTGATTATCCTATTTTTTATTTTTTAATTCAAAACGATCCCACCAATAGGTATCATAGTTAGTACATAGTAGTATTTAAATGGAACTTAAATATCGTAGTTACATAAATGCTGCTACTATATTATAGGCCACTTCGTACGCTTATCACACGATACTCTTATCATACGATCTTTGTACTTACGTGTAGGTAAAGCATTGACAGTTTTTTAACAAATTTTGTTAAGTTTTACCATTAAATAAATATTTACTATGGATGTTATATTCACATTTTGAGATGACCCGTAAATATATGAAAATAAATATTATTTCTTCAAGTTACAATTTTGCATTAACATGTTGAATCAAGTAAATGTTAATTATGAAATGTTACTGGACTATCTACGTAGTATCAATTCCAAACAATAATACACGCATTCCTTCCACGGCTACAATATGCACAGCGGTGATAGCTGTGATGGTATTTGGTAGTTGTAACTATATGTGTTGTAGCCTTTATATAACCTTAAATGACTAGCCTTATCAATACAAAACGATAAGCCAAAATAGAACTCCTATGTAAGGAAAGGTATTATCTATGTACAAATGTTATCTAAGGAATTAGTTTCACGCCTTCACACTTTTGATGGCAGTAAGAAAACAACATTGAAGAGCGCAACATGGATTTTAGTGGTAAGGTCGCTCTTGTAACCGGAGGTAGTTCTGGTATAGGAGCCGCTTGCGCCAAGTTATTAGCTATTCATGGAGCACATGTGGCTTTGGTTGGAAGAAACGAGGAAAGACTCAATGAAAGTGCGATGGTATGTCACCACGCTAGTGGCAGTCAACCTCTGCAATTGAAAATGGATCTAACAGAAAACGGCAAATGCCAAGAAGCTGTTGAGAGAACTATAGAGAAATTTGGGAAGCTTGATATTTTAGTGAATTCAGCAGGAAAATGTACAGTCGGATCACTTCTAGATGATACAACGGATGTGTTCGACGAACTAACAAAATTGAATCTAGGTGTGACTTACAAAATCACACATTACGCTATACCACATTTGGCCAAGACGAAGGGCAACATAGTGATTGTTGTAGCAGCGCCATTTCAGAAAATCAGACATGGTTTCGGAGCATTTTCCATGATGAATGCCGCTCTTATTAAATTCACCAATATCGCTGCAGTGGAGTTGGCAAATTTGGGAGTGAGAATAAATTCTGTAGGTGTAACGGTCACAAGAACTAATATACTATCCAATATTAATATTCACAGTGAGGACGAAAGAGAAATGGCATATAAAATAATTGAAAGAGACAATAAAATGAAGATATTGGACCCCGAGGAAGTTGCTAAAATGGTCGTTTTTATTTCTAGCAATTTGTGTCCTAATATGAATGGAGCTAATGTATGTATAGATAGTGCGGCGACGTCTAGATAGCGGACTTTTAATTTATAAATAAATATATGCGATACAAGACTCATTTTGTTATCTAAGTTGATAAATAAATACAAAATTCGAAACACGATTCAAAATGTATTTTGATTTATTTAAACATGCAAAGTGGTTGATGATTATGGAAATTCTAATTCTAGTTTCAATAATACTTATAGTATATTTGCAATGAGTAATATTTCAAACTACTTTAAATTTCAAAGACACTTCATTAATAGTTGCTTTTTGACACAGAACTTACATTTTTATCTCTTATCCAAATGAATTGTTCGCCATGACCATTACGATAATACAATAAATGTATGAATGCATATTGTATATTACCATTTTTAAGGTTTTGAAACAAACAAATAAGGTTTTTGTTACAAACAAAAAATAAGTACATTAAATAAATTAACGTTTGTCCTTAAGCATTTGTTTCAAAACCTTAAAAATGGTATCTCACATGTTTAAAACTACGCAATGGATTTTGAAGCGGTTATTTTAATAGATAGAGTGATTCAAGGGGAAGGTTTATATGTATAATACATGTACATTTGGGCGAAGCCGGGATGGGTAGCTAGTGTTTAATATTTTTCACCCTTAGTATTATGAGAAAAGTAAATTTAGTTTAGGTAAAGTGGTTCCCGACCAATGCATCAATTTCAAATGAATTGTTGATTTTCTAGTTGTTAGGCAATAAAGTCATCACTTGCGGATATCATTCGAGTCCAGGCCAATGTCCAGATTAGATAGTAACCTTATAAAATTTTTAGGAGCTGTAAGATTTATCTATTAATTATAATTGGTATTAGCAGGCCCGAGTAACTTCGTCTGCGTCAGTTGCCCCGTTTTTGAAACATTTTTCATTAATGCTCCACTAGCATTATTAGCCGTATCGTGATCATAGTCTTCCACGATAAATGGGTTCTCCAATGTTTGAAGAATATTTCAATATGAAGCAGTACTTAGTTGGAAAATCTATAACGGACGTTGACGAATTTCTTAGAATTTGCTCATGTCATCCTTGTCAACTCATGCAGTTCCCGGGACTTATGACCCCGGTATAGATTTAAGGGGCGCCTTTAACGACTTGTTCTCGTGGTACCTTTTTTTCTTATATACTATCTGTACACGCGACTTCGTCTGCGTGGAATTTAACTTTATGTTTTCTAAAACAAAAGTAACGTAAGTTACTCCTTATTACATCAGCTACATGTCAATAAAAGTCCCGTCAAAATCGGTCCAGCCATTTCAGAGTTTAGCCCTAACAAACAGACATAAAAATTGTAAAAAAATATTTTTGGTGTATGTACCGTATTTATGTTCATATGCATGTAATAAAAAACTGTTCTCTCAATATTGCAAACAGACACTCCAATTTTATTTATGAAAATTAATTAAGATCCGTTAAAGTGTTTTTACGTATAATCAAGAAAGAGACAATTCGCAATTATAATATATTTTTGATTCAGTTGCTGACCATCATTAATGGAAGGTCACTTGGCTGACCTCTATTATCACCACAGAGTTCATTCTTCTTAGTGAATGATCTTGGGGAACGCTTGCGACACTCTGATTTTATTTCTTCAATAACTGCATATGGTTGTAGGTACTAATTGTATATTTATTTATTTAACAGCTCATGGTAACATAAATTATTTATTAATTTTATTACGATTAGTTGTTAATTTCATTTACAATACTCAATAAATTTATTAATGATATCATTGGAAATATCAACCTCTGGCCGCTCAGAAGCCAAACCATTGAGCAAGCAACGATTAGGCTTTCTTCTTTCTCCCTCTGCAATTCCTGTAATAATTTGAAAGTTGATTTTAAATAATATAAGACACATGTTTGTTGCTGATAATATAGCTTTATATATGTGAATATTTTTTTTAATTTCTTCATTATATTCGAGTAATAAACTCAAACATACTGAAGAAATTCAAAAAACATTTTTCCGTAGATCGTAAGGTTAATTTTTTTTAGCCAGGTTATTTATATTGTACACTTATATAAGTGCTTATGTCTAACATTAAATGAAAATCCCGTGCACGAACAACTGTTACCATGCACGTATGTTGTTTAAGTAAAATAATAACATATAACAATATGTTGTTTGTTATAATACATATTACGATTTTACAAGTCAATGCTGATAGTAGTCGAGGATTGTGTTGTTGTTATATATACGATAAACTATCTGTGGTCATTAAGTTTTTTTTTCTATCTCTGGAATGGTAAACAAGTTGACGACGCCCACTTTTTTATTTTTATTATTTTTATCAAACTTAATATTATAACACCTAAAATTTGTAGATTGTGATGAAATGTTTACTCATACATTTTTGTTGGTCGTTCATTAAAAATTCGTATAAGATTATACGAGACTGATCATGTTTTCTATTCTATTCTATTATTTATTCATTTATCATTATCAGCATCACCATCATCATCATCACCATCATCATCAGCCCGCTGCAGTCCACTGCTGGACATAGGCCTCTCCCATTCATTACGTTCGGTATATTTAACTTGCCCTCTTCCATCATGTTTTGAAATAATTTGATTTCTTAACGGTGTTCCATCACCAGAGAGTCAGTAAGAAAAATGAATTCAGATAATTTTTTTGGTCCCACTCAAATTAAAACTCACGATCCTTTAATCTATATAGTTTGCTTATTGATAGTTTGCTTGCTTGCTTGGATGTATGCATGCTTGCATGCATGCTTTTTGGTTACCGCATCTGAGATCAGTCGTTTATTAACTTTTATACCTCTTACCGCTCGTTTATAACCTTTATCGAGTGGAGGGAAAGAGTATTGTTAGTGATGTATATTGATGATCTTATTACTAGCAATGTTCCATGTCAGCTTGACCTCCACTCGTTTTCCTGGAAACCAAACCATCGTGATAAATTCTTGGTGAATTTGTCACGATGGTTTCCATGGGGAACTGCGTTATCCTGACATGGTATATTGCTAGCAAGGGGGTTATTAATCCACATTACTAATATTTCAATTGTCCCCTATGCCTACGGTTTGAATGAAGCGGGTGTACCATTCATTGTCGGTAGAGCTCTTGCCACTTTCTACGATCTTCCATCCTATGATCCATCCTTCAATCCTCTTTAAACCTTGATGTGACTCGACTCCTAACCTGTCCTCATGTTTTCTTATCATCCTTCACTGGTAGACCGTTAGCGCAGGCGGGGTGCACCATTCCATTATCATCCATAAAAAAAATTCCTTTATCAAGTTGTACACCTATATCCTTTTAAAGTATTAAACGTATAAATATTGCTATATCATTGTGACTGCTGATTTTCCTCGTGCGCTATCGTCACAGTTAACGGTATGGACGGTTAGTACCTAACACGCTAATACTACTTGTAGTATGACGACACTGAATAAACAAATGTTTATTTATAATCTCACTAGCTGACCCGCGCTACTTCGTTTGCATCACACTTGGCTTGACAATATATATATATATTTTTATTGAATATATATTTGGGGCCGTTCAAGTATTACGTAAGCAAATTTATTGCAATTATTTAACCCCCCCCCCCATCTCCCATCCCCCTTTATCAGCAAAAGTAAGCAAAGCTCTAACCCCCTCCCCTCATGATTACGTAAACATTTTTCAATTAATATATTGTTTTAGCAAAGACAATGCGAGGGTTGCCATTCGTGAAAAAAGTAAATAATTACCGATGACATAATCATCATCTAGACTCCCTACCCCCCACGTCATCTCAGCAAAAGTATTGTTAGAATTTTTGTCACTTTGTGTGTGTGTTTTTATGCAATAATCTCCGACACGGCGTAACCAATTTGTGTGAGGTTTAAACAAAGGTATCGTGGTAAACTTTAAATGGCACGGAGTCTTGGGGATTACTTGTTACCCAATAAACAACAAATGATGACGTCAGTGATAAAAATAAACACGTTGTTTTGTACAAAACAAGTTCTATTCTTGACTAATTCAAAGATTTTTTATTGAATCGTGGTTTTGTATAGAGAATTTTTTATCACGATTTCTTTATACTGCATGTATTTATAGTAGATTATTAGAATTATAATCTTTACTTCAAATGAGTAACCATTTTATCACACCGTCTTTGTATTCATGAGTATGATTGTTTGTATGGTCTGGATGATTTCTATATATATGAGGTATGTGTTTACAAAAACAAAAGTATATTTATGTATTTATATCAGTTGTCTAGTAACTATAACCCGAGCTCTGCTTAGCTTGGGACTAGATGGCTGTGTGAATTATCCTCAAATACTATTATTATTAAACTACATTAACGAACGTGCATCCATCTTAGTTCTTCAACATGCGCATGTAACACAAGTAACGTTACATTGACCCGTCAACTACAGCGCGATAACAGAGGTGAAGGTCAGTACGAGCCTTCTACTAGTACCATTATGTAATTACCGTAACAAACAGGTTCTATTCACACAGACTCAAATTTCTCAGTTTTGCATCACAGTACAGCGTCCAACTCTGAGGACAGTAGACGTGCGCGCGTTCACAAAATGGATTTCACTGGAAAAGTTGTCGTCGTGACGGGAAGCAGCTCTGGTATAGGTGCGGCTACTGCGAAATTGTTTGCAGAACACGGAGCACTGCTGACTATAGTCGGCAGGAATGAAACGAGACTGCTATCTGTGGCAGATGTCTGCGAACAGGCTAAAGGAAATAGACCGTTATGTCTGCTATTAGACTTGACTCAAGAAAACAGTTGCGAGGAAGTTATAAGGAAAACGGCTGAGATGTACAAACGGATCGATGTGGTGGTCAATTGCGCTGGTTCAGCAACAGTGACTTCTCTATTCGATACCACGATGGATGTTTTCGATGAATTAATAGCTCTGAATTTACGAGTCCCGTACAGACTTACTCAACTATGTTTGCCGTATCTGAAAATTACTAAAGGCAGTATTATCAATGTATACGGTGCTCCATTGAGGACCAGACCCGGCTTTTTAGCCGTAGCCATGATCAGGGATGCTCTCGAGAGATTCACGAAGTCTGGAGCAGTAGAGTTGGCATCGGAAGGTATACGAATGAATGCTGTACGCCCGGGGATTACCAGGACAAATTTTTTGGAGAATTTAAACGTGGATCACGAAGCAATGGATCGGGCCTACGCAGCTATTTCGTCGCTAGTGCCCAATCAAGTTATAATAGAACCGGATGAAATAGCCAGAATGATTCTGTTCACTGCAAGCGACGTGTGTCCCAATCTAAACGCCGCTAGTTTGATAGTTGATGCAGCGTCATCTAGTTATTGATGATGATGATGATGATTTCATATTTATATATTGATGGTAAACATCATTGGAGTATGCGATGAAGATATAAGACTGTTTAGTGTATAAGTTGGTTTTGTTTTTGTATATTTTAATAAAGGAAGTATTAAATGACAGTGGTTTTAGTTTTTGTTCGTATAGTGATGGAGTAAGATGCAATATGTCATATATATGAAAAATGATTTTTTCCTTTAGCCTGGGAGAAAGGGACAGATTTACGTTTGTAAGATATTCAATACAGATAGAATTTTATCATGATATTTTTGAAAGTAAAGTAACAAATGAAGGAAACAATGTTTATTCAGTGCTTTTCAACAGTGTTACAATATAAATAAAATCAAGATAAATTTATATAAAATATTATATTACTTAACTAGTTTTTGCCCGCGGCTCCGCTCGCGTTTATTTATTCCGTTAGGGGTAGAACTTATCAAAATCCTTTCTTAGGGGATGCTTACGTCATATTAGTTTTATGCATGCAAAGTCTCAGCTCGATCGGTTTAAAATTGACAAACTTTCATCCCCTATTTTATCCCCTTGGAGGTACAATTAATCAAAATCCTTTCTTAGCAGATGCCTACGTCATAACATCTACCTGCATGCCAAATTTCAGCCCGATCCGTCCAGTGGTTTGGACTGTGCGTTGATAGATCACTATGTCAGTCACCCTTGAGTTATTTATATATAGATTTAACATTTAGATAATTAAAAATAAACATTTTAGCTTAATTGTACCTATGTTCTATGTGAATTCACCACTGGTTTTCAGATGTAAGCCTACGCTTGATATATTTATGTATTTGTTATATAGGATACCTGTATCCATTTAAATATATTTAAAATATACAATACCTGCTCGTGGCGTCGCTCATGTGTTACCATTACTGAAGAGTGTCTGTATGGTGTCATTTCTTCATGCTTTATTATTTTGTGGCCACATTATCCCTTTCAAATGGGTATACATCTTACATAGCAGGCTGGATAGCTTAGATGTAGAAGTTGGTTAGATTAGGATCAATACAGACATTATCTTATCTTATTAATATTATAAACGACGAATGTTTGTGAGTATGGATCTGTTACTCAAAAACTACTGAACTGATTTTAATTAAACTTTACAGTAATATAGCTTATACATCTAAGTGACGACCTCGGTGGTCTAGTGGTCTAGCACACCGCTTTACGACCGATGGTCGCGGGTTCGATTCCTCGCACGGCATAAACATTTGTATTCATGAGTATGATTGTTTGTATCGGTCTGGGTGTTTTCTATGTATAATATGTATGTATTTACAAAAAAAAAATATCTATGTATATGTATCAGTTATCTAGTACCCATAACACAAGCTTTAGCTAGCTTAACTTGGGTCATCTAGACCCAAGTTAAGCTCTCATGAATACAAAATGTTTGTTCCCTGCGAGGAATCGAACCCGCGACCATCGGTCGTAGAGCAGTGTGCTGGACCGCTAGACCATTGAGGTCGTTCAAATTGACTGAATTGGCCTCCAAATTAGGCAAAAAACTTAACTATCATAAACGACTAATGTCCTATATGAATATGATTTTTACTTTGATTTCAGTACATTAAAGAAAAAACGGGTTTTGGTAAACATAAGGTCTCTTTGCCACTGTTGGGTCAAATAATCCGAGGCAAATATGGATTTGTATAAATAGATGCAATAACTACTTCAACCTTCACACATTAGTAACATCTATATATTTTTTATCTATTTTCTTTCTCCATACACACAATGACCTATTTATTTAGCTATATACAGTATTTTTTTGGCTTACGATAATAATGCGGTGTGTGAATTGTCCTGAGATTATTATTATTATTATTAAGTAACATATAGGCTATAATTTTAGAAGATTTTATGTTAATTGGGCCCAATATAATGATAAATGTCAAGAAAGTGTAATACAGATGAAGTTGCGCAGATCAGCTAGTTATACATAATGAGGTATGTCGATATATAAGCATTTGCTTATCTTTAACATATTGTTTATATGAAATCACTAAGTATAATTTGCTGTTGTTATATTTATATTATTATTATATACAAGCTGTTCACGACGAAGATACATAATGAGGTATGTCGATATATAAGCATATGCTTATGTTTAACATATTGTTTATATGAAATCACTAAGCATAATTTGCTATTGTTATATTTATATTATTATTATATACAAGCTGTTCACGCGACTTCGTCCGCGTGGAATTTAACTTTATTTTTCAAATATAAAAGTAGCCTAAGTTACTCCTTATTACATTAGCTACCTGCCAAAAAAAGTCCCGTCAAAATCGGTCCAACCATTTCAGAGATTAGCCGGAACAAACAGACCGACAGACAGACAGACAAAAATTATATATAAATGTTATTTTGGTATATGTACCGTATATTCATATGCATGTAGTAAAAAACGGTTATTACAATATTACAAACAGATACTCAAATTTTATTTATATGTATATATTAGAGGAACAGTTGAGGAAAATATGTTTCTACTAATAGATTGAATGCGAAGGAGTCCTAGCACAGGTCTGTTGTTTTTGTTTGATAACACCTTGTCATTCCAAGGGCAATTTTGTTATATAAATAGTCTAGTTGACACGCGCAACATCGTCTGAATCACACTTACTTGACATTTATCATTATACTACCGTTTGCCCGCGGCTTCGCTCGTGTTAATTTATCCCCTTAGGGGTGGAGTTTATCAAAATCCTTTCTTAAGGGATGCCTACGTCATATTAGCTTTATGGATGTAAAGTCTCAGCCCGATCGGTTTAAATTTGACAAACTTTCATCCCCTATTTTATCCCCTCGGGGGTAGAATTAATCAAAATCCTTTCTTAGCGGATGCCTACATCATAACATCTACCTGCATGCTAAATTTCAGCCCGATCCGTCCAGTGGTTTGGGCTGTGCGTTGATAGATCACTATGTCGGTCACCTTTGAGTTATATATATATATGGATTTAGTCCAATTTACACAATATATTTTTAAATTACATCCTATGTGTTATTCTGATGCAAAGTTTCATTAAAATCTATTCAGTAGTTTTTGTGTGAAAGAGTAACAAACATCCATCCATTCATACTCACAAATTTCAGCGTTTACAGTAATCCTCCTAGAGCTTCGTACCTTCACTACCCTGAATTACACCAGAGAGGTCGCGAATTCATATTCACAAACATCCGTGTTTATAATAATCACGGGGAGTGTTCTGAGGAATTGTTCGGATTAATACCAGCTGCTGAGTTTCACCACCGTACCACCCGCCAGAAACTGAAATACCATCCTGATCATCTGGATGAATGGCGGTCCTCCACAGTGCAGTTTTCTACAAACTATTTACTACGCACAACCACGTTGTGGAATCACCTTCCAGCAATGGTATTTCCGAACCGATACGATATTGATACCTTCAAGAAAAGAGCTTATTCCTTTTTAAAAGGCTGATAACGTACTTGCAATTGCCCTGGTATTGCGGTGCTCATGGGCGGCGGTAATCACTTACCATCAGGTGAGCCGCATGCTCGTATGTCCCCTGTGTTATTAAAAAAAATCCTCTAAGAGCGTCGTAGCCTATACTACCCTAAATTATACCCGAGAGGTCGTGAATTCATATCAGGCAGACACAAAAATAAACTTTGAGTATATATACACAAAGTTTATTTTTGTGTAACATAATCATTGCTTATATAAGCAATGATTATGTTAATACAAAAACTTAGTATTAATATAATCATTGGAATAGTTCGAAATAAAAACCACGGATATTTCGTGGTTATTTGAGGACCGAGGTACCGTGTATGTATGTATAATAATAATAATCTCAGGACAATAAATACAGCGCCATCTAGACCCAAGTTAAGCTAGCTAAAGGTTGTATCATGGGTAAATAACATTTGTAGCATAAAAATATATAGATATATTTGTTTTTTCGTAAATAATAATAATAATAATCTCAGGACAATTCACACAGCGCCATCTAGACCCATTTTAAGCTAGCTAAAGCTTGTGTTATGGGTACTAGATAACTGATACAAATACATAGATAATTTTTTTTTCCGTAAATACATACATATTATACACAGAAAACATCCAGACTGATACACACAATCATACTCATGAATACAAACGTTTCTGCCGTGGGAGGTGTCTTGCGTTGTGAGGATAGCCGCTTGGGTTTTATATAAAATAATAAAGACGGACGACGACGATTGTATGTTCTTTATTCGAGCACCGGAAACGGACGACAACATTAGAAAAATAATCTAAGCACAGAGTACATCATAATAAAATAACTTTTTCTAAATATTAAGTATTTGGATACTCTAACAGGAGGAATCGAACCCGCGACTATCGGAAGTAAGGCAGTGTGCTAAGCCACTAGACCACCGCGGCTGTCATTATGTAAGTATGTATGTATGATAATTATTATTGCCCAATACGATATAAAAAATATAATGAACCAAGAGTGTCGTGATAATTACTGTAACTACAGTTCAAGGTCACGTCCAGTTGTGATAAACAGACGTACAGACATACAAACAAGTTGGATTTGAAATTGTTAGATTTAGTTTGGAAATGTATGAGAAATTTAACTTGACGGTAGGGAAAAAAAATTATAGCGTGGAAACTTGAAGTTCACAAGTGGCTAAAATGTCCTACATGAATAAATGATTTTTGAATTTGAATTTAATTGAATTTAATCCTATTAGGTGCGCTCAATGTCTTGCTAGTTTTAGAGTATTAGAAAATGTAATTTTCTTTCCTTTTTGTTCTACATTTCATTTTCTTATATTCCCTTTCTTTTCTTCAACCTTCCATGAGACGTGTATTCTTATGTTTATGTATGTTATGCTAGATATATTGTATTCTATGTATTTTGTTATGTCGTCAAATTTATATGGGAATACATGAGAAGCACAAGATTTTAATAAAAAAATTTGACATCAAAATGTTTTTTTTTTACTGTAAAAAACTATTTTTTCTTCATAGCTGACGTAGTATTCTGATACCCAGAATGACGTGATATTGAGGATTGACTACGTTTTTTTAAGGCGGTTGAAAATGATAATAATCCGGGTTTTTCTAATATACAAAACAACGGTGCTGTAAATTTGTGGACGTCGCGAGAAATGTGAAAACTGTGATGTTTTAAACGTTGAGTTTTTATATATTTGAGAAGAATAAAAAAATAATCATCAAAATTGTTTTTTTTTAAGTTGGTTGAAAATTATAATTATATATATGAAAAGCACACGATTTTAAATAAAAAAATAATCATCAAAATCGTTTTTTTTGACGCAACTTTTTTTACATAGTTACGTTTTTGTACGTATTTTACGTAGTATAACTAATATACATTAAAAAAACATGATATTGAGAATAGACTGCATTTTTTTAAGTCGGTTGAAAATTATAATTATCCGTTTTTTTTTTCTAATTTACAAAACAACGTCGCGAGAAATGTCAAAACTGTGTATGTTTTAAACGTTGATAAATACAGGCCCCTTTCACTTTTAATATCATGCTCCCGTGCTTCGTGATCTCCCGCTACTGTTATTATTCTTTGGGCCTTGCTTCTCTGGATGGTTTTCCATATTTTCCGTCTCCTAAGATTTTCTTTTGTCTCGTTTTGTTTTATATATCCATAGCGATGTTATATCATTTTTATTTAATGTATTATGTAATAAAAAGTACGTAAAAATTAAGAAAAAAAGGAAGAAATTAATGGAAAAAGATGAAGGGGAAGCCAAGACAGATACATACACTATGTATATGAGGGAGATGAAAGAAAAAGTTGGAGTCGTGTCGTATCAACAACTAAAGAGGTTGATGATAAATTGTGGATAATGGTAAGAGCTCCATCGAAAAGAGCGCGGCTCTTTAATTGTTAATGAATATAAATGCGAAAGTGTGTCTGTCTGTATATTTGTTAACTTTATACGACAACACGGCTGAATAGATATCAATGAAATTTGATATGAACTTAGATTTTATAAAGATACTGATAACAGCTAATATTCTAAATACAAGAGTGTATATGTCTGTCTGTCTATCTTCTGAAGAAATCTTAATGAGATTTGACAAGAAGTAGATTGTGTCTGAAGCAGAGAAAATTTTATTTAAAAGGCAGACGAAATTACGAGTTACTGCTAGTGTAATATGGATGAAAGTAAAACGCAGTAACAACTTATTATTGTTTAATATCAGAATCTTACTACGTTTTACGGTCGTTTTCGGGTTATCGATATTAACAAAGTATTATACTATACGTATATCTTGTTATCACTTATCTATTATACTTTGTGTTAAACGAGGAAAGCAGATGATATTGGTCTGTTTTTATAATATTGATTTGTATAAATAACAAATTTAATACAAGATTACAGTAAGAAAATGTACACGACCAAATTATCTACACTGATAAACACGAACTTATCAGTGTTTGTGTGGCTATGCTTGAAGGCAGACATATACAGTGAATTGCTAATAAAATCTGCCAAGCAGCCAACATAACTCATATAGATTTACCTTCTGATATGTGTAGTGATAAGATTTAACGTACACAAAATGGACTATATAGACTTCAAGGAAAAGGTGGTGATTGTAACGGGTGCCAGCTCGGGTATTGGAGCGAACGCGGCGAAGGCTTTTGCAGTTTATGGAGCGAAACTAACGCTAATAGGAAGAGATGAGTGCAGGCTGCTAGCTGTTGCGAAGCACTGCGAAGCTTGGAGCAAAACGGAACCTCTTTGCTTACTCCTAGACTTGACGCAACCGGGAAGTTGCGAGATCGTCATAGAGAAGACCATACAAACATTCGGAAAGATCAATGTTCTTGTCAACTGCGCAGGGAAACGCATAAAATCATCAATGTTTGATACCTCAATGGAATCTTTCGATGAACAAATGAATATAAACGTAAGGGTACCAGTGTTTTTGACGAAATTGGCGTTACCACATTTGGTGAAGACGAAAGGCAACGTCGTAAACATTGTATCGTCTTTTACGAAACGTTACAAAGAAGATTACGTGCCGTATACAGTAGCGAAGAGTGCTCTGAAAAAGTTTACAAATATAGCAGCCCCTGAATTAATGCCACATGGTGTTAGAATCAACGCGGTTAGTCCAGGGATCACCAAGGAGAGTCTAGCCAATGATATGGTTATTAGAAGCGAGGTCACTAATACCTTTGAGACATTAGAATCACAGCTACCTTCTGGAGCGGCGTTAGAAATGAAAGATGTTGTACTAATGATAGTAATGGTAGCCAGCGATATTTTCCCAAACATGAATGGCTCCAATACGTGCATAGATGGCGCTACGTGTATGATGTAATCTGTTATTCAAAATTATCTCCTTTGTTTATATATGTTTAAGTCTACTTTTGTAATTAAATAAATAAACATGTTACTATCTTATTTATTTATAGTAATTGCGCAATTGTTGTTGTTTTAGATAGTGTTATGGATATAAACATAAACTGAAGGTTTACGTGTGACACCTAAGATTTGGAATGGATAATTGATCACCATATTAAAGGATCTTTTGAAGTAGAAAGATATTTGTTTGTGGTTACGTATGCTGTAACATTACAAATATTTAATACGAAGCCGATTATTAAGAACTAGCTTTTGTTAGTGACTTTGTCTGTGTGATCATGATTAATTAGAATAAACAGTCGATGTATGTGTTCTCCATTACAAATTAAACTTATATACTAAACTAGCTACTCGCCCCGTCTTCGCACAGTTATCCATGTATTATATATATATATAAACCTTCATCTAGAATCACTCCTATTAAAAAAAACCGCTTCAAAATCCGTTGCGTAGTTTTAATGATTTAAACATATATAGGGACGGACAGACAGCGACAGCGACTTTGTTTTATACTATGTAATGATGATTAGTAAGTCGTTGTACGATGTCTTTAGCATGACTGTCTATTGCTTTGTAAGAGATGTCTCGTTTTGTGGTATGAGATAGTGAAATTACAGGATAATGTAGGCATACCATAGTAGTTTATAAGATCTAACCGAACAGACAGCAATCATCAACATAAACAGCATATCAACGCACAGCCCAAATCACTGGACGGATCGGGCTGAAATTTGGCATGCAGGTAGATGTTATGACGTAGGCAACCGCTAAGAAAGGATTTTGATTAATTCCACCCCCAAGGGGACGAAAGTTTGGATGAAACTTTGTCAATTTTAAACCGATCGGGCTGAGATTTGCATACATAAAGCTACCATGACATAGGCATCACCTAAGAAAGGATTTTGATAAATTTCACCCCTAAGGGGATAAAATAGAACACACTTTCATCACTTATTTTGGTGATGAAAGTACTGTAAATCCGCAAAAACTATGCCTAATAATACTTCTTAACGAGAGCGAAGCCGAGGCCAAAAGCTAGTGTTATATAAAGATATATGGTACGTCCTGGAATATTAGTAAATTTAATATGTTTATAAACAAAGATTGTGATCGATAAAATATTAGCTTTGCCTTGTTGAATTATATATCTTTCGATTAGAAATTATTATCGTAAGCCAAAAAAATACTGAAAATAGCTAAATAAGTAGGTCATTGTGTGTATGGAGAAAGAAAATAGATAAAAAATATATAGATGTTACTAATGTGTGAAGGTTGAAGTAGTTATTGCATCTATTTATACAAATCCATATTTGCCTCGGATTATTTGACCCAACAGTGGCAAAGAGACCTTATGTTTACCAAAACCTGTTTTTTTTAAATGTACTGAAATCAAAGTAAAAATCATATTCATATAGTACATTCGTCGCTTATGAAAGTTACGTTTTTTGCCTAATTTGGAGGCCAATTCAGTCAATTTGACGACCTCAATGGTCTAGCGATCTAGCACACTGCTCTACGACCGATGGTCGCGGGTTCGATTCCTCGCACGGCACAAACATTTTGTATTCATGAGTATGATTGTTTGTATCGGTCTGGGTGTTTTCTATGTATAATATGTATGTATTTACAAAAAAAAACTATGTATATGTATCAGTTATCTAGTACCCATAACACAAGCTTTAGCTAGCTTAACTTGGGTCTAGATGGCGCTGTGTTAATTGTCCTGAGATGATTATTATTATTATTATTAATAGATTCAACTGAGAATAACTGTCAACGAATATAAGGGTATTTTTTTAATGTGTTAATATTCTTTATGTCGTAGGTTGATGATGGGGAAATATTTCACCTTCAGAGACGAGAATGTTCTTTGGTTACAATTGATTAGGTGGCTACCGTAACTTATTCAGCGATACATAAGTGTATCGCTGAATAAGTGTGAGATTTGAGGCCAATCATAGGTTTCCGCTCCTATTGATCGTCGAGTAATGTCATCATTAGGTTATGGATCTATATTATTTTGTATAAATTTGCTAGTATTAGAATAGAATAGAAAATCATTATGCTATACATGAGAATAACATAGGCTATAATTTAAAAAGATATTTTGTAAATTGGCCGAAATATAACAATAAATGTTAAGTGACACAGACGAAGTTGCCTGGTTCAGCTAGTATTTTCATATGGCAATATAATAGAATATAAATCATTTATTCAAATAAACTTACATTGAAGCACTTTTGAATAGTCATCACATTTTTTTTAATGTACCGCTCGTTCGGAAATCTTTCTCATCACAAGAAGAACAAACTAGAAACTTGCGTATTGCTCTTTTAAATAATTTTATTCTTACTTTACATTTTTAAGTTTAAATGTGTGAATACAAACTACCAATTCAATTAAATACTCAAATAGAAAAAATATTGAATATACAACCAACTGATTAAACAATTAATAAGAAAAAATCAGTCATAGTGATTAGAGCAGACCAGCCCCTACAAGCAGCACCCGTTCACGAGTATGACGGATGAGCCAGCCATCACTGCGCTCGACTTATTATTTAATACAACCAACAGTCACCAATAGACTTTCAACCTACTTAATCTAAACTCTACATTCCCTGACGGTACCTCGTTTAGAAGCGGAACACGTCTCGCAATGTACACAGATCTGATAACGGTCGGATTTTGATCACGAGTGGGGTAGGTCGTAATGCTTCCAGTAGCATTGGTCAGGTTTCTGCACTGAATGTCTGTGGTCTCACACATCCTGATAGTAGCAGAAATAAACAAAATAATATTAATCAATTAAGTAATTAAAATGGTATTTTATGGAATATATATTTTTTACACAGAGCGCCATCTAGTCCCATGCTAAGCAGAGCTTGTGTTATAGGTACTAGACAATTGATATAAATACATGGATACATTTTTTTGGTAAATCATATTATACATAGAAAACACCCAGACCGATACAAACATACTCATACAAATGTTTGTACTGTGCGAGGAATTGAACCCACGACCATCGGATAGCAAAGCGGTGTGCTAAACTACAAGACCACCGAGGCTGTTAATATATAATGTTATGTCGCCTAAAACCTTTTTAGATAAATTAACCGTTCGGTTTTTTCGGACTACTCTAATGCTGATGGCAGTAGCTGACCTTACAGCTTTACCGGATGATAGGGGGCGAGTGCAGATGGCACTCCGAACCAAAAGGAAGGACTTATGGAGCGGCTGAATACCAACTCCCGCCTGACGGAGCTGTAGAGCTCATTGAAACATTCAGAGCTCATTAGAACATTGGAGTAGTTCGAAAATATATCAATAAATGGATATATTATTTATATAATAACCAATTTATTACAACAAAATCTTACTTGTTGCTTTCTGTGTTTGATTTCTCTTATTTCTCCATTGCTTATATCACATTTCCTGTTACTTATCGCAATGAATTTAAAAATTAAAACCTTTACCTAAGATTATCACGTTTAATCAATCAAACAAACCATTCAGTTTTATAATATTAGTATAGATAGGGAGTTGATATTACGATAACAGCAAAACTGACCTTAACAATTGTCTGAGTGTTCCTTAAGTATCAGTTACATTATACGAGTACGCTACCTTCCTTGTTTTGTGGACTACTCTGATGCTGTTGGCCGCAGCTGGCCTTTACAGCTTCACCGGACGATAGGGGGCGAATGTAGATAGCACTCCGAACCCGCGGAAGGACTTATGGATCGGCGACGGATACAACATTAGTCTGAGGGCACCGCTAGGGGTTCGAACCTCGGCTAAAGCCTTCGTAACATTGGCCTCCGTTTGAATTGGATGGGGCGTCGATCGGAGGGGACGCTTTCTCCCGCGTACACTTACATTGTGAAATGAAATACCTGCCGAAGTTTTCTCGCGAGGCTACAGCATGGGGGTTTTCAAGATATTTTCAGGGTATATTAAAGTTTCTTAAAAATCTGCCTGATACCCCGGTATTTCAGGCGTCCATAGTCTAGGGTAATCGTTTACCATCGGATGAGACGTATGCTTTTTGCCACTGTAGCGCGGTGGTTATCACCTCACTACTGTAGCGTTATATATGATGTGATGAGGATACAGGTGAAGGAAGGATACAGGTGAAATTATTGTATGTACATTAGTTAGTAAGTTTATTTGGTAGTGTGCTACATGGCTTATCAGTAACGCGTACATTCGACGCGGAGTCGGGACGTAGGCTAACTTTAGACTCAATTTAAAATTATCTGGAGAGGTACTTATGAAAGGGTCTCAAGTGTTAACAGAAATAGTACAATGGTAGGCACAACACCATAGTTGTATAAAAAACAGTGAAGCTACTGTGTAGCAGACACCGTGAGGCGGTGGAATTCGATCGTCTGCCACACTCTGGTATCACTGCAGAAGCGATCACAATAAATAAGAAGGATACGTGCACTTCTTGGATGGAGTCTTGTGCGACGTTCTGGTTTTACCTTAATTCCAACGAGATGCTTCGAAGAGTATTCTCCTGGAGTTATCCTGGTCAAGCCAAGTGCATGCGTGGGTTCACCGCGCAAACCAACGATTGTGAAAGCGAATAAATAAAATAATTTAACATAATTTAATTAACCGCGACGATGATGGCTTCGTCGTGGTACAAAAGAAGAGGCGCACAAACAGGGTCAATAGGAATCATTGTGGCACTGCACTCAATGGGCCCAACTTTCTGCTGCGTGCTGCTACACCGACCACGACAATGTACCTGTCCCGTCTACATTACGCCACTAAGGAGCAGGACATTGTCGATTATATTCGTATCAAGAGTAACCTGACATTGAGGGTAACGCAGCTGAAGTCGAGTCACAACGCGAGTTTCAAAGCGTTTGTGGCCCTGGTCCCCACCGACTTGCTGCCCACCTTCATGAAAGAGGACTACTGGCCGAAAGGTGTGGTGTATCGGCGCTACCGTGGCAGATTTCCGTCTTCAGTGCCGTGATCACACAGACAATATCGTTGTATTGGTTTTTAAATATTATATTATAT